TCCATGTAGGAGAGTGCTACTCGGGACTGGTAAGGCCACACCTGGAGTACTGTGTCCGGTTCTGGGCTCCCCAGTACCAGAGAGACATGGACATACTGGTGAGGGTCCAACAAAGGGCAATGAAGATGATTAAGGCACTGGAGCATCTCTCCTATGACGAAAGGCTGAGAGAGCTGGGCCTGTTTAGCCTAGAGATATGAAGTGGAATGGAGGGTGCAAAGAAGATGGAGCCAGGCTCTTTTCCACGTTGCCCAGTGACAGGACAAGAGGCAATGGGCATAAACTGAAACACCAGAACATTAAGAAACACTTTTTCACTGTGGGTGACCGAGCATTGGCACAGGTTGCCCAGGCAGGTTGTGGAGTCTCCATCCTTGGAGATACTCAAAAAGCCATCTGGACGTGGTCCTGGGCAACCATCTGGTTGGACCAGATGACCACCAGAGGTCCCTTCCGACCTCAACCGTTCTATGATTCTGTGAAATAGCTGGCTTCCAGCTTCTGCTCTTAGAGCCCTTTCTATAACTCACTATGTAAATCTTGGAATTGTCACCCCGGTACCATAAAGATTTCATTGTTTAGAAAACACTTCAAACCCACCAGACCACTACCTATGGCCATTTAAGATAAAAGATGGTTTCCTTGAAAGCAGAAATTGAACCTGAACTTTTTGTTTTATATGTTAATGTCTTCATTTTTAGGAAATTTTGTGTTAAAAAAAACAACACAGCAACTAAAAACACCCAAAACAATTTCAAGCTACCTTTCATCCATAAGGTGCCATACAATTAATCGAAGAAGAAACTGGAATAAATTTTTCCTTATGCTTTCGGTTACAAACTTCCACCCCACCAGCCCCGGGTCTGCATGAAAGTTAGGGAAAAACAGAACAAAACAAAACAAAGAAACCCCATGCTTTCTCCTCCCCTTTCAAAGGTTTCATCTAAGAGCTAAGTTTTTTATTCTAGTACTTTCCAACAGGAGTTCATTAATCTCAGCCAGAGCTGATTAATACCATGCATCATGTACAACTACAGCAACATTTTCTAAGATGCATCTTATACTTGCCACCCTTAAAAACAGGCAAAGGGAAAAGGAGAAAAAAACCCCAAAAAATAATTCAGCATTTTTCTGTGCCTAGAAAGTTTCCATACAGCACTTCTGCTCACATTAAACATATCAATTTATAACTTCAGTATCCAGCCTTGGTGGGAGATGTTTGAAATACAACCAGGAACTAACAGTATCTAAGAGATGAAGTCTGAAATTGAAATCACTGTGTTCTTTCATGTAGCGAAGGCTGCAACATCCAGAAAAGCAACAAGCTAAACGACTGTGAAAATGGTCTATCACACAAAATTATTTGGTGGGTTTTGTGTGGGTTTTTTTTTTTTGTTGTGGTTGTTTGGTGTGGGTTTTTTTTTTTTATTAAATAGCAATTCAAAAAACAGCACGTGAACCTATAAACGGTAAAAAAATCCTCTTCAACTGCCTCAAAGTAGTTCCCAGTTTTAATGCAATTTCAAAGGAATTTTCAGGTACTGGAAACCTTCAGATAAAGCAAATAACATTTTAACAATGTTAACTTTCTGTGCCTGAACTCGTTCCCCACTGCCTTACCATTCATACTCTATGGATTATTCACTGTAAAGATCAAAACCAGTGCTATCCACTAGCTTGCAGACAGACTGTTTCACAGAAACATTCCAGCAGTTATTTGGATCTCATAAAAAAAGCTCATCTAAAGACCTATGTTGTTTCTTCTTTCTACTGAACCTGAAAAAGAAAAATTGTTCTTTACACATTCCCTATTAACTAGCAAGACATGTATAAATCACTGCTAAAATAAACTGAACAGTCTGCTACTACTATTCCTAACTGGATTTAATAGCAATGATTTCAAAAGTCCAGAAACAGCAGCAAGGGAGCTGGGAAGAAGATACAAAAGATACTAAACATTGTACCAAGTAGTGGTAATTGTGAAATTTTATTTTATTTTTTGAAGTCACAGAAGAGGGTAGAAAATAGAGACAAAGTGTTGGATGTAAATAACCAACCATAGATGTAGAGAAATTGAACAAGATAAAAAAACCTTTAGCTTAAATTAATGTATTTTATACGAGAAAATAATTGGTACAAAGGCTGAATTAGAACCATGGTTTTCAAGGTCAGGCGCACACTTCCTTAGTACCACAAAAAACCCAACCCTTAAAAGAATATTTAGTTTGGAATGGTGTTAATCCTGGACAATGGTAGCCTCTAAATGCACTTAATGCTCTCCTCATTTCTGGCATGAAATAGCTGAAAAAAGAAATTTGGAAAATGTACATTTGAGGTATTCTACCAATTCCACACTGCTATTTAATAAGCAGGTCAATTTATTATCATCCAACCTGACTTTTACCACCTACTCAACCCTAACTTTGAGCACTTAAATCACTAATTGAGAATAAGTGATTCAAGGTTTTAGTAACAAATTAGTAGTTTTTCTGGAATATAAACATTTTACTTTATTATAAAGTACACTGTACTAGAAGGTTCATTCAAATCTAGGTAATTTCAGTTACATTCCTATGGCTTTTGAGCAAAAAAGCAAGTAGTTTTACTGTATGTACACAATATTGAACATCAAGATTTAAATTAATTAATTATTAATAACCTACATTCATGGTGGATTTCTAAGATTTACATCCAAAAAGCATATTTTATTTACATGCTGTTGACATTTTAAAGAAAATGAAATAAAATCTTATCTGTTTAGGAATTATGATCTATCTCAAATTAAAAAGATACATTTAACACCACAAAATTGTTTAAAATATTTACAATAAAAAACAGCTTTCTGTGCCAATTATACTTACTTTCTAAGAATGTAAAATTGCATTGATAACTACACTAACTACAATTAGACTTGAAACATTTAAAACCTGAGAGTCAAATCTAAACTTTTTTTTTAAAGAAAATCCTACAAGCTAATATGCCCTAATGTTAATTTAAGCAGAGAGTCAGTAAAACAAAACAAAACAAAACAAAAAAACAACAAAAAACCCAGTGCATTATTTCTGCAGCTCCAAAAGAACAGATCACTCCAAAATTGTTGCAGTAGTTTGATAAATGCCAGGCCTGCCAGCCGCATTAAGGCTTATTTCAAAGTGCCCTTTCCCACACACTGTACGCCTAATCAAATAATGAGTGTCTTTGGCCAATTCCTGTGAGGGTTCCTACATTTATGTAAGCATGCATTTGCTTAAGTATGCATCTGGGATCTTTGAGGTTTCCCACCTCAAACATAGATATACAGGTGTTTTAATAGCCAGACCAGAGTAAAAAAAAAAACAAACCATGAAGAGGCATAGAAAGTTAGAAATACTGGCCAGAAAACTTTCAAAGTCTAATGAGAAGTTTTGTATCAACCCCAAAGGCCTTTTAAAATCAGCATGGCTCTGGAGCCGCATTCACTGTATTATTAAACATTATTTACCTTACATTAAAAAAAAAAAAGTTGCACTAACAGGTACATTTTACTGCACTGCAGGATGTAAAAACTAACTACACCTATAAAGCCTGGGGAAGAGAAGCATCACACACAAAGTTACTCCATTTTTTAGTAGCCATTTTATTTCTGCACTCGGAAACATTATGCTCCTTTTTGAGTGAAATAGCTTTCCCCTCCCTCCTTGTATCCTTCAGAAACTGTGCTTGACCAAGAGCGTCTTCCAGGAGGGGTTTGAGAAGGCCAGGATTTTCCCATTCTGGAGCTATTTTCCATAGCTTTGATAGTTTGCCCTTCTCATTCAGATGGTTGGCAATGTAGTAGTGGTCCTTCTAGGCTGAAAGCAGGCAAACTGCAATTGATCAGCCTCTACAGGCAGCCTTGCTTTGTAGCCTATCCAACAGGTTGCATTTATCTAAATTGACATTCCCTGGGACCCAGAAACTCTTATCTCAAATGACCACCAATATCATTCCCCAAATTAAACAGGAGTATCTGTAGCTCTGAAACAAAGTTACTCCTGCATTTCATAGGGACTGATCTTTGCCATTTAAGATGGGAGCATTTCGTTAGAGCTTTAAACCTAACTGCACCATGTGGCAACATACTCAAGTCTACTTATGCCACATCAACCTAACATAATTTGAAAACTAGATCTGCATTACTTCACCTCCTTCACCAGCAAGGCAATGTAAAACCAACTCCCAGCATAAGCTTTTTTCCTGGGTTTAGGATCATTCTTTTTCTAAGGCACTTGCATGAACAAGCACACAGGTCCATTTATTTATACGGAAATAAAATCAACAATGTGGCAAACATGCTTGTAAGTAATAAGAAAAATGTGATACCTTCTAATTAGGTGACACATTTTACTACCCAATGTAGTACTACCCAATGTTTTTTTTTTTTTCCCCAAAACCAAAAAATGTCTACAACTTGGTGTGTTACTGTGGGCTATACCAGGGATGTTTTTTATGTTTTACAGAAATCACCTTTAAAAAAAACAAAAAACAAAAAAAAAAACCGATGAAGGTAAACAGACACAAGTTTTGTCATTCATTGACATAAAGCAGCAGATATACTGAAGAACATTCTGCTATTAACACATAGCAAATCGAACTTTTTCTAGCATTTAAGACAGTGTGTTTTATCCCTTTGATTCTGGAATACAAGTAGACTAATTTTAAGTAAAAAAAAAAAGCAAGTGTATACAAACTAAGAGAAAACTGCAGGAGTTAGAATATACATGACTTCATGCAATGATACTGTACTTCATCCCTAGAAACATACAAGATTTCAAAAGTCATCCTTTGTGGAAATAAACTCTTCCAATGAAACATTCGATACACTGCTAAGGTTTTCATAGGTGATCAAGATGTTGACTCAGTTTCTTCGCCAGCTACTGTTTGACAAACCTTGCTCTCGTTCACTGTTCAGAAGAGTTCTCATCCCAACAACAGGAGATTGCTTGGAACCAATAAGGCAAATCACTTGGTACAGTTTTTACTAAGGTTAAATAAACCCATGATGTCAACCATTGCTTTTTGGATGTTTTTTCCAAAACGATGAGAATCCTTTAAAGACAAACAAACAAAAAACAAAACCAAGACTTGTACTGTCAATCAACAGTTATCTTTCAGGCAAAAGAAGGAACCTTTTAACATTTTGTAATTTTGAAGCTTATGGAATTAGGGCATGTATTTTACCATAAAATGGGGAATTTAAACCATAAAAATTTTAATGCTATACAAATTAATCCAGGTTTATGCTATTACAGACCAATGAGTTCTTCATTATGCATTTACTTTTCTGCAGACAGAACTGAGATCATCTCCTTTTGAAATCAGATGTATCTATAGCTTTCTGTTACTTTAAAATAGCTGGGTTTTGGTATTGTTTTTTTATACAAGATTTTGCAAAAGCTAATTTTCAGAAAACAAAAGAATGTTCAGAAAGTGCATGACTAATGACCTAGAAGTACTGAAAGAGCAGAAGAACATTTTGTATCTGAGTTCCTATCAGAATCCTGAATCGTTTGCCATTGAAAAATTACATAATGTATTGAAAATTAAAATCACAATTATCCAAGTGTAAACAAACTGTGAACTTGTTCTGTTTATTCTAAGTGTCAGATGAATGGTACAAGGAAGAAATTAAGATTACAAATATGAATTATTAGCTACATTACAGGACCTACTACAAAGACCCTACTAATATCAAGGCACATGAAATGCTGCCTTTTCTGTATGGACCTTTGACTTAGACTAATAAGTAAAAAAATACAGGGAAATTTAAGGTACAAGCTAACAGGCATCTGAAGAACAATTTGAACTATAAAAAACCAAAGTTGTATTTCCTAATCTTTAATGATTAACCAAAGGCACCAAGATCTCTCGGACAAGTTAAGGTCAAAAGAGGAAAACTAGTTCAGCTATGTAATCCTGAACAAACTCAGCATGTTTATTAAAGTCATAAAAATCTAAAGGGGAAGGATGAATTGAAGCTCACTCAAAGCAGACCTCCCCAACAGCAGAATATTGAATAGATGACATCTACTACATTCTAATAATGTGTGTTATTCTAATAAATTTTTGATTAATCATGTTTCTCAGGCACAGATTACAACTTATGGGCCAGCTTCTTTCAGTACTATTTAAACCAAGAATATTTAAAGAATAGGGAACATTCATTTTATTCTGTCTTTACAACTGCAGCCAGAGACAAATCAAAGCAAAACTGTAATAACAAAAAACAGGAGACACCCATCTTACTGTTTATGGGACAGATATGAGTCATTTTACATGAGTTCCAGGGAATTACACATGTGTAAAGATGACCTTGGGCCACATGCTTTCTTTATGCTTGAAAGCATAAGTGAAATAGAATATGGTTTCCTTGGTTCATAAAATTATTAAATTTATAGAATTTAATAATAGACAAAACTCCCCCCCCCAACAAAACAGCATATGTTGAGAAAGAAAAAAGACATTATAACTCTATGTTGGAAGTCCTATTAAATTTTTTTAGACAACGAGTAGAACAGTTTTATAAGCAGATATCAGAACAGATTCATTAAACCATAGGAAAGGACTGACCCTTACCGTCTCAGAACAAGATATTTTGCTGGAGACATGGAAATGGATGGAATTTTCATCCAAGATAATATAAGAAACACCATAACCATCATCAGCCACCTAGGGAAAAAAGAAGAGAAAAACAAGTTCTAACCTTTTCTTTTTCCTTCTGTTCCAAAATTATCTTATACATAATTACACAATTCTTACTGTGCAGTTTTTAAAATCAGTTGCAATTTCTCCTCAAGCAAAAATTAAGCTTCCACATTTAATGCATCATTTCTGAAGATTGATTCCACTTAAAGAAACAGTTCTAGTCTCATCTGAAATGCACGGAATTAACATTTTCTAAATATATGTCTGTAATATTTCCCAGCTTTAGTATTTTGAATAGAATACTTGTTCAAAGATCTTCTCCTACCAAGGTCTGGTCCTAAGCAGCTATACAGCTTCAGTGCTTAAGTAGAAAGGAATAAAATAGTTCAGTTGTATACCTAACCATCCTGTTTCATGGGATCACTCTGCAGATGTAAAGAAATAAGAGTATATAAATACGGAGTATACAAGCCTTGCATTATGAAAACTTGCCCAAAGGCAAAGTCTTCCAACTCTAAAGCAAAGATATGGTTCTGAACACCCGTATCACGAGCAGAGCTCTGGTCCGATTTCACCATTAGCAGCATTAACTGTCCCAAGTTTCAGTCTGATGTTATATTTAAAGTGTGCCTAGCAAACACAGGCTATCCTGCTGCCACCCTTTTTCCTCTCTTTTCTAACTCAAAGAATCACAACCTTCAGGCTCTTTGCTGCCACTGCTGCTAAGCAGCCTGATAGTCTCATCTCCATTAGTGCTACAGGGCTATATCCTACAGAACGCTTCGGGGGGGGGAAAAAAAACCCACGCCAAAACCAACAAACAGCGCACATACATGGAGAACCTGATGTATTGAATCTCTGGGCTACTTCAGCAAACCAAAGCACATTTTTTATAAGGATACAAGAAATGATGAAGGGAAATGTAAGCACTGTTATTTGGAAAGGAAGGAAGGAAATTAGAGGAATGAAGAAATAGTATGAAGGAAGCAGTTAATGTGGCATCAGCAAAAACAAAAGGAAAAAAAGTGTTAGAAATTCCTGCAGCCAAAAACCTATTTTATTGCCAGACCACACCTTTTTGGGGATTCTAAATACTGACTTTATAATCTGCTGGAGCAAGCCAGTTTCTCAAGAATGAGCAGTATTGCAATAACTAGGCTTCCTTGATACTGCAATTTAAACTCCTTCCAACTTGAAGAACTACTGAAAACTGTATCAGAAACATGAATAAATAAATTTTTAAAAACCCACAAGAAACAACTTCCAGCTTGACAAACCAGCCAAAATACACTGTACTTGTCATCCTAATTTCTGCGTGGCAAAGAGTAGTCTTGTGATCTCTCTCATTGTTCTTTCAATAGAAATGTTTTTTGAAAACAGATTAATTTAGTCTATAGCCCCGTAAAGTCTGCTTAACAGATCTTGTTAACAACAATATCATCATCAATGGCCATATTCAAACCCTGGTAAAATACTACAGCAAGTCAGAAGCTTGTAAAATCTTAACAATATACTAGTTTCTTGAAAGTCTACAGAAGCTGTAGAACATGGTTTAATTCTTGACTTGGCCACTATTCACATTTAGGAGGGCAAGCAGAACAATGGGAGTAGCTTAATTTGGAGGAAAGCATGAACATATTTTTTAATTAATCAGGAAATATAAATAACAAGTCAAGTATAATTACTTTTACAAATCTCAACCTTAAAATCTAGTTTAAGTAATAAGGCATTTGTCACTGTAATAATAGCCTGATGTACAGAAGCTCTGGGCATAGGTAATGTGATAAAAGCCCCCACTTTATCAGATCTCTCTGCCATGGAGCCCTGTACAACGTTTGATAACTGTGTATTTCTTTAAGAATAATCCATTCTTGTAGTGGGACATGAGAAAAAGGTAATGCAGATTTTTCTGAGTACATCCACATCATGGGAAAGCGTTAAACACATGCATTTAAAAGCACCTTTGATGTGCAACGTTAAGGTATTACAGATTTGAAATTTTTAGACTGGCATATTCAAAATAAAACTGTTTTTAAAGGTGTACTTGTATTTAGCAAACATACCGGTCCAAATCCTCCACCACAGGATAACATCTCAGGGTTCTTCTTTAGATCGATGTGTTGCTGTGGTGTCTGACTTGTTGACAGCCTCCAAGGCTCTGACAAAACCTTTATTAGATATGAAAGAGATGCAAACAAGTATAACACACTATTTAAGAACATGCAACTTTCTCAAAAATTAGTCAAGATAAGTTACAAAGCACTCAAATAAAGCAACATTAAGGATAATGTTCCTCTTTCAATGGAATGAACAATTAAGGTTAAAATAAACAGCTAAACTTGTCCTGATATGAAAATGAAACCATTAACATATGATGTTGTGATGTCAGTTCCTTAAAGGCAATAAAAGTTCTTTCAATAGAAATGCTATTTCAAAACAGATTATTTACCAGGTTGTCCTGGTTTTGGCTGGGATAGAGTTAAATTTCTTCCTAGTGCTGTGTTTTGGATTTAGTATGAGAAGAATGTTGATAATGCACTGATGTTTTCAGTTGTTGCTAAGTATCTTGTCAAGGACAACTACCCTCCAGGAAGCTACCAAGCTAGACTGGGAGGAGGGAACAGAGCCAGGACAGCTACCCCAGCTGGCCAATGGGGTATTCTATACCATGTGACATCATGCTCAGTATATGAATGGTAGGCGTGATCCAGGAAGTACCAATCGCTACATGGTTATCGGTCAGCGCGGGTGGTGAGCAATTGCATTGTGCATCACTCATTTTGTATATACTATTATTATTTTATCTTTTCTGTCCTATTAAACTATCTTTATCTCAACCCACAAGTTTTTTTTTCACTCTCACCCTTCCGATTCTCTCCCCACTGCGCCGAGGGGGGCGGGGAGCGAGCGAGCAGCTGCGTGGTATTTGGCTGCCTGCCAGGTTAAACCCAGACACCGGCCTATAGCCTGGTAAACTCTGCATAACAGGTCTTGTTAACAAGATCATTAATGGCCATATTCAAATCCTGGTAAGATACTACATCAAGTTAGAAGCTTGTAAAATCTCTAACAATACACATGTATCTTGAAAGTCTGCAGAAGCTGTAGAACGTGGTTTTATTCTTGACATTTAGGAAGGCAAGCAGACAAATGTAAGTAGCTTAATTTGGAGGCAAGCCAGAACACATTTTTTATTAATCAGAAAACATGAACAAGTGCAATGTAATTCCCAACCTTAAAATCTAGTTTAAGTAATAAAGCATTTGTAATGGTAATAAACAGTGACATTAATGTTGTGCATTTTAAAAAAAAACAAAAACAACACAATATGCAGCTCGTTTAACTCACAGTAATGTAAAAGAAAGTAATTTTATCACAGTGCCAAAAGAACATTCTTGAGAGAAAACACACAGCCTCTGTTGTGCTGCCTTGAAAATATGTAAAAAACACAAGCAACCAATATTTTTTTTTGTAATACTGACTATATCTTTCTTGCAATCCTTAATAGCATGTATTACACTACAAAGCTCACAGAAAGCATTACTATAGGTCTATTAATAAGTGCATACATAAAGCAAAATGAAACTAACTTGTAATCTACCAGCAGATGTTAAGCAACGCTACCTAAACTCATACGTTTTTTCTTAGGAAAACCAGAGTTCTACAAGTATATAAGCAGATACCACAAAACACTAAGTAAATAAAGGATTATTTACTATAATTAATAGTGATCAATAAAAGTCACTTACTTCCTTAAGAAAAGGAGAATCTACAGCAAGGTACTTGGACACGACATAAAGGCAGAACAGATGGCGGTCAATGCCAGCACCAGTCATGGCAAGACGATATAAGTGCTGATGTTTGGCAGCAGCAAGCCGAAAGGACTTAAGCTTATTTTCATTCTAACAATGAAAAAGAGATGAAGAAAAATCAGTTAAGTGAACTGGGTTGAGGATGGAGGTGCAGCAACTAAGTTACAGCAATGGCTCTCAGGTCTAGAGCACTTAAGGGTCAAGTACAAGACAATGCATGCAACTAAGTATTCTGTGGCTTTTCAACCTCACATATTTAATTTCAGGTATTAGCAAGTGTTAACTATTACCTGCTGTAAACAGTCCATAATGAAAACAAATTTGTATTTTAAGTGGGATCTAACCTCAGAATCAAACATGATTACAACTCGATTTTACTACATTATTGTACATTTAGTTTCTAGACACACTGGTCTTAAAAAGTTATAGAAGAGCAAATCTCAACATGATTTAAGAAAAGCTGGAACTGCAACAGCCTTTTTAGAAGGCAAACTGACAACACTGAAGGTATTGGAGTCCATGAATGCTGCTCATTTTTTAAAAGCCTTCTCTTAAGAGCTCAGGAGCAGGCAATTCCAAAGTGTCAGAAGTCAAGCAAGCGGGGCCAAAGGCCTGCGTGGCGGAGGAAGGTTCTTCTTCTAGAACTTAGGTGGAAAA